TGATGATGATGATGATGATGATGATGATGGAGGCAGAGATCAGACTGATAGAAGATCTGCAGCCTCTGAAGGACCTCAGCTTCCTGTAGAAGTCCAGTCTGTGTCTTCTTGCAGACGCTGAACCTCCTGTTTAACTTAATGACTGAAATAAATGAACTTTTCCATAATATTCTAACAGAATAGGAGCAAAAAAGAAAGCTGAGGCTGAATAGAGTTCCATCTTTTAAGCCTCAATGTTAGACGGACCTTCCACTAAATGTACAAAAGAGTAAGTGACCATAGGAGATGATAGAAACGTAGAGCAAGTAAATCAGAGCTTTTCTCTCAGCAGACGGAGCAGCGTCTGGATTATATCCATCTATGGATCTCCACCTCCATTCTCCCCTCACTGATGAACAGAAGCCCAGGATACTGGAGGCAGGAACTTATTAAAGGCCTCATTCAACCAGTCCCTGAAAGGAGGAGATCTTCCACCATCGTGGCGAGAGGACTTTCTCCCTGCGTCTCCTGAAGGAGAAAGGAGAGAGACTCTGGGAAAAATGGAGGATTTACTCAAATAGTCAAAATAAAACTCAATACTTGAGAATTGGAAAATCTATCTGCCTCCTCTGACCGTATCTCCTTCTGCTGGGCCGTGGTCTACATGTGTTACTTTTATTCGTGAGCTTCATACACTGATCTATTTACTGTTTTTGTGCTCTAACCCTTGTGCAAAAACTAAAATTAAAGTTTAAAAAAAGATCCAGCTTTAGTCATCAGTCATTCCAGCAGCAGAATGACACAGTTTATCTGTCAAAGGATTTATTTTACAATAATAATGATAATATCCAAGTTTCCTGGAAACCACAGCTTTGGGTTGCTGATCAAACAACTTTACACCCATTCCTCCCACAGGGGGCGCCATATCCCTACCATATGCTGAGTTCCAAACATGGCAAATCCTTTATTATTTCAGGTAAATTAAATTGTCAAATAATGTTATTTGATTGATCTTAAATCGTTGATATAATTGAATTATGAAACATTATTTATATTTTTGTGAATTGTTTGCTGTTGTGAACCAAGAAAAGTCTGCAGATCGGCTCCTGTCCTCTGATTAAATAATAAAGGCCACTTTAGGTTTGATTATATTAATAAAATAAAATAAAATCGATGGTCAGATTTGCCTTTATCCATGACAGGACGACTACATTTATTAAAAATGACTATTCTGCCCCATTTTTTATAGTATTTTCAAACACTTCCACTTTCTGATTCATTTTATGACACTTTGCTGTTTAATAAATTTATTAGGAGTAATAGAAAAGCAGTAATAGAAAAGCAAGGCTCAGTTTAAGGCTCCTCTTTCAGCCTAATGAAAGAGGTGGACTTTAAGTCCCGCATCTCAGATGCTACAATATGGCCGCCCAGCTAACATTAGCTACTCATTGCTTTAATCTGAGGACGCCTCCAGCTTAGGTTGACATCCAACAGCAATCTGCTCCAGATTTCCCCTTAAACACATTTCTATATTCTTCAGATATAAGGACACTAAAAAACCCCACAAAGAATCTTTTCTTAAAGAACACAATTATAATTTGGCATTCAGCACATAAACATGTAGGTGACCTTCCAGAGATATCACCATATATGGGGTAATAAAAAGTTCCCCCCAGGGAAAAATGATGGAGGATTTAAACTATGAAAA